CATTTGAAAAATCAAAGTTGCTACTGCTTTCTAATAGAAGCGGCAACACCGCATTGTCGAAAATATTTTAGTTGGCTAGAGAATGTCCGAATATGCCCTCCATTAAATTTTCAAAGTGATCCGTTGTCTGGTTCACCAGAAACGTCTAATGTGCCATCCACCGTGAATCAGCCTGTAGAAGTGGGATTCAAATTCATCATGTATTTATTTCATTTATTTCAAACACATACGGTAATCCGAAATGAGAAAGTACCTATATTCGGAATGAACCAAATGAAAGTGGATATGACTTCTGCTGTTCAAAAAATATTCACAGTTTTGTAAGTTAAATGATACATCTTCCAAAAGGGATATATTTGAAAATAAATCTTGAATAAAAAATATGTCCACAATTTCTCCAGCTTCCTTAACGACGTATCAAAGTCAGATATCTGTCGGTATTTCTGGTTGAAATAAATTATCTATAACTTCATTTCGTATAAACAATCATCGTCATGATATCGATATGTACCTCAGTTAATATTTACAATACATTTATTTTCTCTTCTATATTGCACATAACTAAACAGGGTGATCAGGTTAATTGTTTATAGATGTATTTGCAAAGTTGATGTTATGTGGCTTTTTTTCGATTTGATCACGCATCAATACGTTAATTCGCTCATTATATAGCGCTAATTTTCAACTTATTTGAATTAATTATCACACAATATATTTCCAGAAATATTCAAATATATGTCCATTATCACTACATAGTCGCTTCCAGCTGTCTGTCCCTATGTATGCTTAGATCTTTAAAACTACGCAACGGATTTTGACGCAGGTACTTTCAATAGTTAAAGTGACTCAAGAGAACGGTTTATATGTATAAAACATGCATAATATAGTAGAGAAACACTGATAATGGTAGAAGTTTCTAATGTGATGTCGAAAATAAATACTTTTTTTGCTCTCACATTGAAAACCCTACGAGATAGATGAAACAATGTACCACAATATTGTACACCTTAAAAAAATCTACAAAACAGTCTACGATGGTATATGTCTACCTCCTACGTATAACACACAATAACTAGTTTTCATCCTCAAGAAATAATCGCTCATTAACAAAGCAATTTTAAGCAATACAGCATTAATCCATATCCAAATAAATACCTTGAATGCATTGAGCATTTCATATAGATCAATATGGCCCTTTAGAGCATGTGATTCAAATGAATATTCTCGAAGATATTACAGATTTAATATGTACGGACATAGCGGTTGCGGTACCGGCCGGGGGGCGGCGGTGCATGTCTATCAATAGCGCTTCGAAGACTACGCTTTGCTCTATAGCAATTCATGATTGGCATCGATTGCACGCGTTTATATTATGTATGTTTATCAGCATTGCACCCCTGCGGAGCTGGGGCGGACCGCTAGTATAATTTTAAAGATAGTTATACTTAAAGGATCACCACCAAGGTGAAAAATATTCGCCTACTCAGCTCAACTTCTTTTCAATTGTATTTTTTCTTCGCAACTCAGTGATCATATGTTATTGAAATTTAATTCGGTCTACTCGATCGATCAATAAACCCTTTGTATAAAAATCATAATTCGAAATGCTAGATAGTCTCTACTTTCGGAAAAAAACCTTGCTTCAGGTTCACTGACATCAGCAAATCTACTGAAATTTTGTTCTCTTCAGGTTCTGCATTGCATATATTTTTCATTATTATACAACTCTTGAAGCATAGTTGTAGTACGTAGGTGCAACTGAGTTGCAAAATTTTAGATCAAATTCTGCAAAAGGTTTTGCCTTAGATCGGTGCGATTCAAAATCGCCTCAGTTTATAAAAATTGAAGTGTAATCCTAGTACACTGTTTCAAATGATAGAATGAAGCCTGGAATGAAGGTAGGTACTCTAGTTGTACGATCAGCACGGCCCAACTACTAATGGTTATATAACTCGTGGATTTTCAGTTCATAGAGGGTGAATAAGAATGCAGTCGT